AATATAATATAATAATTAATTAATACACACTACAGCGCCAGCTCGTTAAGAACGCAACACAACGACTCTATAATTTTTTTCTTTTAATAAGAAAAAGTACGCTAAACAAGAAATGCAGCAATGGCTTGAATTTGTGTGTTGAGTTTTAAATAAATGGCTTAAACGGGTGTGTGTTCCGTGAGTTCTACAAGAGGGCAAGCGGCAAAGCCGCGAGTCCCCTATAATTTCTACACAACATTTTCAAATCCGACAAAATTTGATATCAGTTTTAAGTATTATTATTAATAGTTATTTATTGTAAGAGTGTGTTAGATAACGTTTTACCCACGCTAGAATGTTTAATTTTCTTAAGTGGATAAAACGCGACTAACACACGACTGCGATATAACTTTTTATTTACAATCACAGGCCCAAATTATTCCAAACTTAATTAAAATTTAAACTGACTTTTAAACGTCACGCCAAATGTGCTTTCGGTTAAACGTAGTAAGCTGTTACGCGGTGCGCTGATTACTAACAGTGGAATAAAGTTACTTTATTCTACTAGTGGATAAAGTGGTACTTTATACGCATCTAAAGTGTGGAATAAAGTCTCTTTATAGAGTGATTGTGGATAAAATATAATAATTAAGTAATAATATAATATAATAATCAATTATTACACATTTCAGTGTCAGCTCGTTAAGGACGCAACACAACGTTTCCATAATTTTTTTCTTTTAATAATAACAAGAAATGCAACAATGGCTTGAATTTGTGTGTTGAGTATTAGATAAATGGCTTAAACAAGTGTGTGTTTTGTGAATCCTACAAGAGGGCGTGCGGCAAAGCCGCGAGCCCCCTATAATTTCAGTTTCTACTATTATTATTAAAACATAGTAATTAATTAGTAATATAAAATAATAATTAATACACACTCGTTAAGGACGCAACACAACGTTTCCATAATTTTTTTCTTTTAATAATAACAAGAAATGCAACAATGGCTTGCATTTGTATGTTGAGTATTACATAAATGGCTTAAACGGGTGTGTGTTTTGTGAATCCTACAAGAGGGCGKGCGGCAAAGCCGCGAGCCCCCTATAATTTCTACACAACATTTTCAAATCCGACAAAATTTGATAACAGTTTCTATTATTATTATAACACATAGTAATTAATTAATAATATAAAATAATAATTAATTAATACACACTTCAGTGCCAGCTCGTTAAGAACGCAACGTCCCTATCATTTTTTTTCTTTTTACGAAACAGAAATGCAGCAATGGCTTGAATTTCTGTGTTGAGTATTAGATAAATGGCTTAAACGGGTGTGTGTTTTGCCCATGGCGTTGATCTTGTCGATTAGTCATTTGCGAGTAAAAAAAAGCTTCTCATTTTCCGTTAAGGGCAGTCGTCGTTCACGCTGTAACTGATACGGCCCTATAAGCCTCCGAGGCGAGAAAAGCAAGTGTCCATTTCGTTTAAAGCTAGCATCCTGACTGTCCAGATATAAATCTAAGGACGGTCGATGTTTCGCTCCGCGTGTTTTGCACCGACTCCCGGATAAGCCTCTAGATGCCCGACTCAATTTCCTCTTGACCCTGAATGATGGAAGTTGTTCCAGACGCACCCGACCGGAGATGGAGGATTTCGAGATAGATACATGTTTATCTTTGTTCAAGTACATCCAACAATTGATTTTTGAATTTCCAAACAACTTGTTATCTTCTTAAAATATAAAAAAGTAAAAATAGCGGTATGAGTTGCAATATTTCAATAGATTATTGCATCTGACATAAAAGAGAGCTTTGCAACAAGTGGGTTATGCTTTTTCAATAATAAAACTGCAATCATCTACCCGTCGCTCTTTGAAACGATTGTGGTTTTGCTATCTTCAAAATAATTGCCTCTTGTGCTATTCTGTTAAGGGTTTAGAGTAGCAATGATACTTCAAATAACTAAATTAAATTATATAACTTAAAGAAATATATTATCAAGTCTAGATAGTCCTTATAATCAGATGTAAATACGTAATTTAATAACGAAAGCTTGACGCAAACAACGAGAATCACTTAAGTATTCGTTTATGAATTTCTAATTTCATTTCACATGAAAGAGCAATTATTTTCTTTTGAGAAGCATTTCTTTTATACAATATTCTTGTTCTGCAGCGAAATAAACGTTATCAGTCAGCCGTCTTTCAACAACGGATGAGAAACTTGAAAACTTGATTAGGAAAAATTGGTCTCGATTTTATGATTCACTTGATTCATTTATTTAATCGAACTGTCAGACGGAAAATCCACAATAGAAACCGATGCAATGTAAAAACTAAAACTGACATCGAACACGTACGAACTGGACAAAAACCAATCATACTATTGTCGTTGAAAATAAAGTCTCGTCCATCTGAAAGACTTTGTGACATTAAAACAAAACCAAGATGGAAAAGTTTACTGTCCAAATAAAAGGACTCTGAGACATTTGACCTATTAAATTTATTAAAACGTACAAATATCACTTTGTAGCGAATTTTTTCCTAACGTCACATATACAAGCTGCGAAATGCAGCTTATCAAAAATCCATGCACAGTATATCAGACTTGTTTTACATCTCCTACTCCGAAAGCATTTGAATAAATGGCTTTCCTCTAGTAGAAGTAAATTAAACCCTACATCATTACATTAAATAAATTATTTTATCCGCAAACGTCACAACTTTATGTCACACTTTTCAGCAATGAAATAAAATTAAACACCCAAAAGGTTAAAATTTTATTTTTGCGCCTAAGTGCTTTTAAAAATCGCTGTTTTGAGCCAAAATAAAGCGAATAGAGCTATTTCTGATCGATTTGGTTACATACTAACTTAAAAATTATTAGACGGCTCACTTTTAAAACAGAAATAATTTTAAATCAACGTTTTTTAAAAACAATAATTGCTTAAATCGCTGTTTACATCCAAAATTAAGCGATTTAAACTATTTCTAATCGATTTGGCTCGTTTTTAAACAAGAAATAATTTTATATTAATCTATTTCAACTAAATAAGTGCTTAAATCGCTGTTTTGAATCAAAATAAAGCGAATAAAGCTGCTTCTAATCGATTTGGCTACATACTATCTTATAATTTTTTAGAGTTGGCTCAATTTTAAACCAGAAATAATTTTAAATCAACGATTTTTAAAAACAATATTTGCTTAAATCGCTGTTTACATCAAAAATTAAGCGATTTAAGCTATTTCTAATCGATTTGGCTCGTTTTTAACAAGAAATAATTTTATATTAATCTATTTCAACTAAATAACTGCTTAAATCGCTGTTTTGAATCAAAATAAAGCGAATAAAGTTGCTTCTAATCGATTTGGCTACATACTATAATTAATTTTAAACCAGAAATAATTTTAAATCAACGACTTTTAAAAACAATATTTGCTTAAATCGCTGTTTACATCAAAAATTAAGCGATTTAAACTATTTCTAATCAATTTGGCTCGTTTTTTAAGAAGAAATAATTTTATATCAATCTATTTCAACTAAATAAGCTTAAATCGCTGTTTTTTAGCCAAAAAAAGGCTTTTTAAGCTTGGATTTGACTAGATTTAACCTTAAAATTGTTGGCTTAGGCTTAATAATAAACCAAAAATAATTTTAATTCAACGTATTTCAAAAACAATAATTGCTTAAATTGCTGTTTACATCCAAAATTAAGCAATTTAGGCTATTTCTAATCAATTTGGCTCGTTTTTTAACGAGAAATAATTTTAGATCAATCTATTTCAACTAAATAAGTGCTTAAATTGCTGTTTTAAATCAAAATAAAGCGAATAAGGCTGTTTCTAATCGATTTGGCTGAATATTAACTTATAAATTATAAGACTTGGCTCAATTTTAAACCAGAAATAATTTTAAGTCAACGTTTTTTAAAACCAATAATTGCTTAAATTACTGTTTACATCCAAAATTAAGCGATTTAAGCTATTTCTAATCTATTTGGATCGTTTTTTAACAAGAAATAATATTATATCAATCTATTTCAACTAAATAAGAGCTTAAATCGCTGTTTTTAGCCCAAAAAAAGTTTTTTTAACTTGGATTTGACTAGATTTAACCTTGAAATCGTTGGTTTAGGCTTAATATTAAACCAAAAATAATTTTAAGTCAACGTTTTTTAGAAACAATAATTGCTTAAATTGCTGTTTACATCTAAAATTAAGCTATTTCTAGTCAGTTTGGCTCGTTTTTTAACAAGAAATAATTTTATATCAATCTATTTCAACTAAATAAGTGCTTAAATCGCTGGTTTTAGCCAAAAAAAGACTTTTTAAGCTTGGATTTGACTAGATTTAACCTTGAATTCGTTGGCTTAGGCTTAATATTAAACCAAAAATAATTTTAGATCAATATATTTTAACAGAATAAATGCTTAAATTGCTGTTTAAGCCAGAAATAATTCCAAATCAATGTATTTTAACAAAATAAGTGCTATTGATCACTTTTACTCTTAATAACATAATAGGCTATTTTTGTTTAAAGAATGATTTCTCATTGAGTTGAAATTAGAATCTTGTTTTATCAAACAAACTTTAATTTAACTCATTCAGAATTAATTGTTTTAATATTTTAGGTTTACAAATTGCGTTTAATTACTGAAAATCGTTTAAACATCTGTAAAGCTATTACACGACTTTGAAAACTTAGTTTGAAATTTAATTTAATCGTTCGATATGTTTGTGGTGATTACTAAAGATTTGATTTAAACTTTTACTTTTAACCCTTAGTAACTAGTTCAATTTGCGATTTTTTTTAAATCGATCCACAAGCTAGATTTTCTTTTTTTTTCTTTTTTTGATTGATTTGCGCAATAAACCATTCAGGCGAATTTTTTCTCAAGCCATTTGCTTGGAAGCAGCTTTGTGTTAGGAGTTAATTCCGAAACATTTAAGAAAACGGTCTACATTCCGAACCATTGGCAATATTTTTATAGCAAATATGTTGAAAAAATGTCTTGTTTCAGCCTCATACTCAGCACGCAGCGATGGAAACGCAACCGGAACTGGAATATCGAAACTGCAACTGACGCTTTCAAAATATGATCTGAATGCACGCTTTGAATGCAAAGTTGAAAGTCAAGCTTTAGAAGAACCGATCGTGAAAGGGGTGACGCTTCCCGTTAAAGGTAAATATAAACACAAGATATTTAAAATCGGGCTTTTGGTCGTAAAACGATGAGGTTAAACATCGAACCGCGTGACAAGAAATGTAAAGCCACCACTCGTCGCAGAAGAGGGTAATTTCCAAGCACGCCACCTTCTTACTTTAAGTATCTCGATTCCACGGCCGTTTTAATTAAACGTAAAGCTGAAAATACATTCATACACTTAGGAAGCTGTGTCACGAACATTCACTCTCACGAAAACGATTTCATTTAAGAGGGTGAGAAAAATGGGGCGGTTTTGGAGCTTTATAAAAATAGATATCTAGTCTAGATATTTAAATTAATTTAGGAATTTTATGCGATGGTGGTTCAAATTACCGAATTTGGTTAATCACCGGTTTAAAGGAGAACCGCAATTGTGAAATTGAGTGGCGTGTCGTGTCATCTTGAGCATGAATGCTGCTACCCATGTCCGAGCAAATATACATTACACTAAACTGCTTGCAAATATTGAATCAATTACTTAGAAATGAATCCATACATTTTCATTAAAGTTCGAAAATGGGACACCAAGTCACTTGACAATGTCCTGAGTGTCCTTTATTGTTCGTGAAATGGTCAAGCAGTTTTCCTTACACATCCTTTAACTTCCAACACACAATAACGGAACATTTCGACAATAATGCAAGAGAAGTTTGCACATTAATTAAATTATTCCGGCCAGCATTAAGCCTTAAACAGTTCCACAGTTAGTGTTTGTTGCTTACCGTGGCAGCTGTTTTGAGTGATTCGATTAGAAGAAGCAGTCATGCGAACGGGACCAACGTAATTGGGCGATAACAGTTGCTTTTGTTGAAACGACCACCGAACTCGATAGAGTTTATGGTGGCGAAATTTTTAACTTAATTATCAAATTCCTAAAAAGTAGCGTCGATTTTCAATTTAATAAAAGCCAAGTGTGAGTTTCTGTTTAATAACAGAGCTGACCGCAGTAGTGTAAATAGCGGGCTTCTGGAGCCACCTCCCACTACTGATTTATTAAGGTCTTATAACGCATGCGTGATCATTTTGATATATAAGGTAAACAGATAATTGTTATCAAACTTTAAAAAATAAACGATGCTGAAAACTAAAATTTTAATCAAAGAATTTTTTATTTAGACTCATCAAATGAACCAGTGCAAAATTTCTTACATAACTTAAAACTCAACAACACTAAATCGCTTTTCTTCAAACCCACTGATGAAACAGAAGTCCTAAAAGTGATAAGAGAGATGAAATCGAGTACCTGAGAAGATATTTATGGAAAATCAAACGACTTTCTAAAACGTATAGCTACAGGTATAGCTAAGCCACTAGTGATCGTTATAAACAGATGTTTAGAAGAAGGGATTTTTCCGTCAAAACTGAAAACCGCAAAAGTTGTTCCAATCTTTAAAAAAGAGATTCGAATGAATGCAGTAATTATCGTCCTATTTCTGTAATTCCGACAAAGTGTTAGAAATGACTCTAAAAGACAGACTTATAGAATTTTTCGAAAAATACAACATTTTTACAAAAAAACATAGATATAGAAAGAAAAAATCTATCGTAACTGCTATTAATGATGTCATTCAGCATATACTAACGGCGCAAGATAACCAAGATCAAGTTATCATGGCTTGCTGTGATCTGTCAAAAGCTTTTGACACGATTCAACATAAGGAATTTTACTGAAACTAGAGTATTACGGTGTTAGAGGCGTGGCTCAAAAAATATTTGAATCATATTTATCAAACCGAAACCAAATAATTAAATGGAAAACTCAAACGTCAAGAAGTGAAAAAGTTAGATATGGAGTTCCTCAGGGCTCTATATTGGGTCTAATTTTATTTATAATTTATACCAATGACTTAATAACCAGCGTTCCACATTACACTACATGCTGTTTTGCTGGTGATACTTCATACATTGTTAAAGGAAAATCTGTCCAACAAGCGAAAGAACGCATGTATGTCACACTCCAACAATCTCAAAAGTGGATGAACTCAAATATGTTAAAACTCAACACTGAAAAGACCCAACAGTTGGTGTTTAATGAGAGTAACGAAGCTGTTAAATTTATTGGTGTTTATGTAGATAGTGCTTTAAAATGGCGGACACATATAAGTGAATTAAATAAAAAACTATCTTCCGTAATTTACGCAATTAGGGTGCTTAAACGAACTACAAGTGACCAAGAAGCTAAAACCGCGTATTTTGCAAACTTTCATAGTAGCATTAACTATGGAATATTTTTTTAGGGAAATTCACAGGATGTGCACAGTGTTTTTGAACTTCAGAAAAAAGCATTAAGAGTATTGTGCAATTTAGGTTTTAAGGATACATGCAGAGACTCATTTTGTTAAGGAATACACAGTCCACAATTTACGTAACACATTTAGAGGAGAAAAAAATTTAACGTTGCCCTGTTTGTTCATATATAATTGTCGGTGTTATGTCCATGAACATTTAAATGAATTTCAGTCTAATTCTATCTACCATGAATATAATACTAGAAATAAAGACTCACTCATAGTTCCTCACCATCGCCTAAAAAGAACCCAACAAGGTAGCGATTTTTGGGGATCCAAACTGTATAATAAATTAAATAAAGAAATCAAGAACTCAAATATAATTCAGTTTAAGAAAAAAATAAAGTCAATGTTGATCAACAAAAGTTTCTATTCTGTGGGGGAATATACGGACAGTGACTTAAATTAAATATTAAAATTCATATTGTTCTGGAGTGTTTTTCTTGTCTTGTTTTTGATCCTATTCTGTAATTTTGATTACGAATGAAGAGATTTATCTATCTATTTGTAAGACATATGAAAATATTTGTAGGTGCATTTTGACAAATCATCGGCAAAAGATAGTGTGATGAGCGGCAAAGCCGCGAGCCCCCTATAACTTTTACATTTTTAAATTCGACAGAATTAGATATTAGTTTCTAGTTTTCTTTATTACTTGTTCATTTATCTGTTTATCTTATCGGTCAAAAATCAGTAGTGGGAGGTGGTTCCCGAAGCCCTCTATTCACTTTGCTGACCAAAATTTTGCGTAAATGAAGAGCTTAATATTTAAAGGCGCTTCGTGGCCACCGTGTGAATTTCCAGCTCTCTTTAATTTGCAGTGAAGCCAACGAAAATCAAGTTGTCGGGTGTGAACGGCCACGTGAATCAGGGAACAATAGTGTCACTTATATGCGAGGTGTTTGGGGCCCGACCAATGGCTGAAGTGGAATGGTACAACAGCACATCCATCCGAATGGTCACAAACAACAGTCGAGGAATTGAAGTTCGTACAGTTTACGAGCAAGATGTAAGTGTTTCAGATATATTCAGAAAGTTGTTTGAAAGTTTCGCTTATCCCTAATTATTGGATTTCAAAAGTTAGGTGGAGTTATACCTGCGGTTTAAACCGTTCTAATCAATAATAAACGAATCGCGTGAACTTTTATCCGTTCAGCTATTACCAAGTGTTAATCCAAACTTTTTCAGGTTTATTACAACTTTGTGAATTAGTTCGCTGCTTGCAATTTATAGCATCGAAAAACACAACATACACAGATATTATACTAGATTCTGGGAACTTTTCGTTTTAATTTGTGCTTCCGATTGATTTAAAATACGAGCTGGTTTATTCTTTCTGCACAAGAAACGTTTTAATTACTGATACACCTAATTTAAAAGCGTCATAAATCGAGTTTGGATAAGGCACATTGTAATAAGTTTCTGTTAAACCAACACCCATAAATTAGAGGAAATATATTACCTCCTTCAAGAATATGCAGCTAATGCTAATAAACAACACATTGTACTTATTTAGTGTTTTATTTCTTTATCCACTTGTGTCTTGAAAAAATAATAAAATTCTATGAATAAAGTCAAATATATTTAATTGAATTTTGAACTGATTTGTTCATAGCTGGCTTGGAAAGTCTAATAAGTAAGTAAATTAAAAAACAACAAGTAAGAAAAAGAAACAAGTATGAAAAGTAGTAAAAAAATAAAAAATCAAAAGTTATTAAAAAAACCTAACCAATGAAGGAAGTCTAAGAAGAAAGACTAGTTAGGAATCAGAAAAGAAACAAAAACTAGAAAGAAAAAAACAAACATGAAAAAAGTAACAGTTTTCATTATGTTGTTTGCTCTGCTCTAATTTAATGTTTCTAAAATTTAATGAAAGACACAAATAAATTGAAAGTTACATACTTTAATCTCGAACTCATAAAAAAACACACAAGAAAAGTTTAGAAGTAATTCTGATATTTACAGAAAGAAAAATGGAAAGTTTTGAATAGATAAGATGTAAAAACAAGAGAGAAAGGAACAGAACAATAAATAAAAAGAAAAATATTACGGAAAATATAGATAAAAAAGCAGAGAAAAAAAAATAATAAACAAAAATAAAAAAGTACCTACCCAACAAATACGAGTAACGAGAGAAGTCAAGAAAGCAAAGAGATAAAAATAAGAAAAAAAAAGACTATAAAAGAAGTCTCACATTTTCACAAATCCATTCACATTCTCACAAACAAAATAAAATTTTGTACATTATGTTTACGTTACAACATCGGCTTTTTAATTTTTATAATAAACCAGCTAAATTTCAAGTCAAGTTTTTGAAAAAATAATGAAATTCTAACAATACAGTCAAATTTAATTAAATTTTGAATTGCTGCTTTAAAAAATCTAATAAAACAAAAGTAACTAAAAGAAAATAAAAAATAAACCAACCGAGGAAGTTAAAGAAGAAAGACTCGCTAGGACTCTGAGAAGGAACAAAATAAGAAATATAAAAAACTAGAATAAAAAACAAGACAAACTTTAAAAAAGAATAACGGTTTTCATACGTCGTTTGCTAATTTAATGTTTCTCAAACTTATAAAAATTTCTTTCTTTCTGAAAGCCACAAATAAATTGAAAATTATGTACATACTCAATCCCGAACCTTTAACTTTTATAAGAAAAACACACAACAACAATTTAAAGCTAGTTCTGTTATTTGAATATAAATAAAAATGGAAAGACTTGAGTAAATAAACAAAGAAAAAAATTGAAAAATGAGAATTATAAAAAAAGTCGTCGGAATTAAATACAAAAGAAAAATATTATGAATGTATACAGAAAAAAACAGAGAAAAGAAGTTAGAAAAAGAAACTAACAATAATAACAAGAAATTAATAATACAAGACAAAATAAAACAAGTTATGTACCTAAAGAAGGAAGCCAAGAAAAGAAAAAAAACAAAAAAGTACAAAATGTGGAAAAACAAATATTAAAAGGCTAGAAAAAATGTCTCACATTTTTACAAATTTACATGTACATTTCCACAAATAAAATAGAAATTTGTACATTACACCTTCGGCTATTCAATTTTTTTTAAATCACCCAAAATTAGGTCTAGTTTTTTATAAAATAATAAAATTTTAACAACACAGTTTAATTTAATTAAATCTTTAATTAATTTGTTTATAGCTGATTTAAAAAATCTAATAATAAAAAAGTAATAAGTAGCTTTATGAGCGAATATTTTGTTTTAAGTCATACTTAAAAAATATATATGTTTGAAGTGAATAATTTCAGTTAATGGATGTTTTGTTATTTTTACTTTTAATTACCGGCTAAATTAAATATTTTAGCTGGATTATAAAAGAAAATTTCTAAGAGGTAATGGAATGGGTATGAAAACAGTTTTTTTGCTTCTTCTAATGTATTAATTTTTGTTTTCTAATTTTAAAATAATAATTTGTTCAATGTTTCTACTGTTTGTTTAATTTATTAATGGCATTTGACTTAAAAATTATTTTTAAAATGTGGTTAGTAAACGGTAATATCATGTTTACGAAACTTTTTAGTTTAATACAATTTTAAGAAAAAATAAATAGAAAAACTAAAACAAAAATAGAAGCGTACGAAATCCTAATTTTGAAATCAGATAAACTCATAAGTCATATCTGGAGACATCTCTCCCGCCCGTTAATCTTTATCATGTATCAAGCTCGCCAAAACGGGTGGCAACTAAATATCCTCTTAGCGTTACTTTTTATCTTTCTTTTTCGTCATCACAATGGAATGTATTAAAATTTCAAATTATAACAACACAAAATATCGTGTTCAATTCATTGAACTAAGAAAAAGCAATCTATCTTAAAGAAAAACCATTAGGTTTGCTCCAATTTAGACAACGTAATAAACTTTCACATTCTTTATTTTATATCAGGACCAATTCTCTTTACTGCCAAATTTATAACTTGCGCTAACAGTAAAACGAACGTCATCATAACTAATCAGATGTTCTACAGAGAAAAAAATTACTCTAAATACTTAGTCTAGGGACTAACACAGTTTAAGATTTTCTCAGAATATACGACGCTTAAATGCTTTAAAATATTGCACAGCTACGCAATTTTACATACGAAGGGCGGATGTTTCTCTAATTTATCGTCACTTTGCTAGTGTTTAAGCCCAAGTTTTGTGTCTTTCCACTTTTACATCTTATTAAGTCTGCTTTCTGTAACTCGACTCGATTAAATCCTCCCTCTTGCTACACAAAATAATGAATCGATGCTCTAAATTTTTCTCCGATGTTTCACTAAATTTTGATTCTGTAGTTTGGATGTTTGCCAGAAGTACAAAATCCTTGTCAAGAAAATTTAACTATTCGTTCGAAATTTGTTCCATTGTGTTGAGTTGTGTGCTTGTATCGAAAACTTTGAAGAAGAATGAATACTTTTTACATACAATGCGAAAGGGACGAATTATATTAAATTATGCTTCCTGGGAGGATTGGAGCCAGTCCGGTTTTGTTACTGTAGCGATATTTTTTACATTTTCGTCAGCGTTGTCATGTTGGGAACATTTCAAGGGACTATTGGTCTCCATTAGTAGCTAATGCAGGAAATAATTTATGTCCTCTGGGATCAAACACGGGAAATTAATAAACGCGATGCTGGTACAGCATTTCAACAAGTAACTTCTGTATTTTCGGAAATATCTTGTACTGTTGACATTTCCAACCTCGGCGGAGGCTAAAAAGTGACTCTTATTACCTACCTCTATTACTAACTTCGTTTTCTAGTCCTACTGTCAAAAAATTCAAAGTTAAAACCAATGTTCATAAAAGGTTTAAGTCCAAAATACGGATTACTCAAATTATTCACAAAATAAATATAAAAAATACAAAATCGGAAAGAACCAAAGACACTTTTGTGTAAAATGTTCGTTGCTAAAACATGTTTAAACAAAATAAAATAGAAGGAAAATAAATTTATTCTAAAAATTTCAATGCAAAAAGGTACTTAACACTTTTGAACTATTCCGAACTCAGTTTTTAGGATATTAGCAAGAGCCACTGCGCAAGAATAATTAGCAAAAACTGGAAACAGTGCGCACATGGTGATCAGTCAGTCAGTTTGAGTGTGTACTTTTAAGTTAATGAACATTTTTTAATTTAAACCTTTTATTAAAAGGAGTTTTTAATTAAAATTTTTTGAAAATATTTGGTTTTATGTTTAAACATTTTAAGAAAAATACAATTTATTTACAAAATTTTTCCCTTTCAAATCGTTTTGTGATGTACTCATTATGTTTTCAGGCGGGCGGCACTTACACGACGAAAAGCACGCTTAGTTTTCCAGCGACGCGATTCGAGAATGGCAAACGTTTCGAATGTTACGGCAGAAACGAAGTGACAACGATTAAAAGCGAGCCAGATTTGTATGAACCGAAAATCTTGGACGTACGATGTGCGTAAACGTTGTTTTAACTGTGATCTTATAAATACACGAATAGGATTTTTGTAGATCCGCCAGTGATTGAAGTTGGTGCTATAGGAAACACAGTTGTTAACGAAAGTGCAAACGTTACTCTAACTTGTCGATATTTTGCAAATCCCCAAAAACTGGAAGGTGCAACTTGGTAAAATACAATTTTCTTTAGTGTAGCGATTTGTAACGGATAGTTTCTTAGGATCAAAGATGGGAAAAACTTGAGTAAAATATTGAATAAGCATTACGGAGGTGATGTGGAAATGCCGTCTCTTACTATAATAGGCGTTACAAGGGAAGATGCTGGCGACTACGGTTGCTTATTACAGAACGCTGTGAATTCGTCTCTTTCCGAAGACATTATTTATTTGGATGTTCATTGTAAGTGAGGGTATTTAACATTCATATTTTACCAAATTTTTTAGATCCTCCTGACGTGGAAGTGGTAATGGCTCCCTCGACACCTGCCAATGCCACTGAACAAACAAATGTTACACTAGTTTGCAACGTAACATCGGGGAATCCCCCATCGCTACGTAAAGTAAACACGACAAACAATCTCTAATAGTTGATGTAAATCGATACAATTCCAGGTGCGTTGGTTTCTCGACGGTGAACTTATGGCCGAACTTCCCGAATGCAACTACAGTCAACCTGTGATCAACGACACGATTGGTGGTCCGTTTTGTGGCATAGATCCGAGTATTTTGAGTTTGATTAAAGTCGAACAGACTTTTGCTGGAAACTACACCTGTCAAGGGGAAAACGAAGCCGGGTTAGGACCGGTCTCTGAACCTCGAGAGCTAATAGTTTACTGTAAGAGCGAATTTTGACACTTCAGACAAGTTTCAGGTTTTTTTCAGACCCACCTTCTGCTGCCAAACTCACGCATTATCCTCCTACGGTCATGAAAAGTGGACAAGTTACGTTAACATGCAGTGTGGAAGACACTGGTTTTCCTACAAATGTCACGTATCTTTGGTTCCGCAACGGTCACATGATCCACAATATTACAGTCTCGAATTGGACCATTCCACATGCTTCTTTGGAAACACGAAGCAATTTCACGTGTATTGCGTTGAATAAAGGAGGACAAAGCAAGCCGGCTTATGATTTCGTCAATGTTGAAGCACCACCGACTGTTATCACCAAAGCTAGTGCAACTTATAAAGGAGTTCTTTACACCTCACAAAATATGTCCCTCAGCTGTCAAATCGAATGTTTTCCGAGATGTTCAATCAAATGGTACAAAGACGGACACGAGATTAATTTCGAAAACAACAAACTTTACTATGTGATCAACACGAATCATTCAGCGGATTATAAAACGAATGATTTTGAATCAATTGAATCGACTCTGGTGAGAGAAAAAACTGTGTGAACGATTTCTAATTCATTTTAATTCCAGGTTTGGAATATGACAAACTGGCCTGGAAAACAACTAGACAAAACCGCTCCTGACTCATACTACACGTGTGCTAGTTACGACCCACCAGATAGACATCGAGTAGGAGCAAATTTTTCTACAGCCATTGGTGTAGAATGTGAGAATTGCTAAATTAAATACAATATTGCCTAAATTTCAAGATTTTTTTAATAGATCCCCCAGATAACTTAACCGTGTCTGATAGAATTGTCGACGTAATAGAAGACGAGTCTCCTGTTGATGTTAAATGTAGTGGAGTTGGTCGACCAAATCTCAGCTACGTATGGAAAAGAAATCTTACGTCTGAAGTAATTGTAAAAAGCGACACTCTTAAACTTCCCAAAATGTCCAGAACTAAAGCGGGGTACTACACTTGTGAAGCTTTCAACAGGCACGGCAATAAGACAATTCAAGTCAAATTCAACGTCTGGTGTAAGACTGACTATATTCGTATTCTTTAACGTTACATTGTTTACGATTTTACTAATCCTCATCTTCACAAATTCAAAAAAATTATCATTTTGCAAAATTGAGCCAATAACGTTTTATGCACTTTTTCAAGTCTTTAGAACTGCTAGAAATGTAAAAACGTTATATGGATCAATTTTAATGTTAGAATTTTTGTTATTATTCTCAATAATCCCGTAATTATTGGTGATAATAAATTTAATTTTCTATCATATACAGGAAAGATCAGTGTTCTGTAATAAATAGTAAATAAATAATTGACTATAACTTCTAAACTATTACGAATTTTGCAGTTTTCTCGACTCTAATCGATTTTTCGGAACATATTACATATGTCTACGGCAAAATATTATATCCTTGAGGTACAGTTTTGCCGCAACAAAATAAAAAAAAGTATAAATTTGTTAACACATACGAAATAGTCATATTTCAAAAAGTATGAGTTTTAGGTCAAAACGGTTTATACTGGCGTTTTCTCGGGTTAATTTTACATATAGTACTAGGTTTTCATAAAAATCATTTTTTTTTATTTTTTGGACAAAATCGCTTATGCTTATATCCCATTTCTTAACTTTATCTTTCAATATCTCAAAAAGTCAAAAACTTTTTTTCGTAGAGCATTTTAACTTATTGCACTGTGTTCAGCACGTAATTTTACGTCTAGAACACTATTTTTTAAGCGCTTTTATGGTTTCAAATTTTTATGGTTTTCACGATTTTTAATTTTACTTCTAGAACACCATTTTTTATGGTTTCAAGTTTTTTATGGCTTTTACGATTGATTGAACTCACCTTCAAAAACTCAACTTAGCACTTTTCGTTAAAATTAAAAAAAAAATTTGTTACAACTTTATATCGAGTGCAAACATGTGTGTACTATTATACAGGGTGACCACGAGCCACCCCGAAGATCTCAGAAACTAAAAAGACTTTAGAAAAACGCCGAAACAGGTCAATTTTGTTTCCGAGGGGAACATACTTTGCCGTAATTTAACTTTAAAAATTTGAGTGGCTACCTCACTTGTGGCACATCAAATTAAAGCTATTTAAACAAGCTTTTCAAAACTTTTTATCAAAATTAAATCAGACCATCCATTTATGAGATACAAGTGTTCTAATAAAAACAAGCCATTCTTAATTTGTTTTTAAGGGGGACATTTTTAACGCAATTTTAAAAGCACTCCCACGAACCCTTTAACCTCTATGCAACTTAACTCTAATAAAATATCAAATAGCACTAACACACTAGTGATACATAAAGCTTACATAAATGCATAAATACATAAATGCTTTTAAAATTGCGTCAAAAAATGTCCCTTTCAAAAAAAAAATCTGTTTTGGGTTTTTTTCTAGAGTGGTTTGTTTTTTTAGAACATCCCGTATCTCATGAATGGATGGTTTGATTCAATTTTGATAAAAAGTCTGGAAAAGCTTGTTAAAATAGCTTTTATTTGATTTGCCACAAGAGGGATAGTGCCATTTCAATTGTTAAAGTTGGAGTCAAAAAATGTCCCCATCTTAAAACAAAATTGACCTGTTTCGGCGTCTTTGCAAAGTTTTCTTAGTTTCTGAGATATTCGGGATGGCTCGTTTTCATCGGGCTACCTTGTATAGTAAAAATATACTGCATATAAAAGATATACAAAATGTATATATTTATTATTTGTCTTTAGACAAACCGGAATGCAAGATTGAACGCGGCGAGATCGAATACAACCCTTCGTTAATTTGCAAAGCAGACGGAAATCCAAGTGAAATGACTTTCACCTGGATGATGATCGAACAGAACAAAACTTCAGAGTTGAATCCTTCTGGAGGAAATGCCAACTTCAGTTATTTCTTCTTAGATTCAAGCGTAACCACCGACATCGAGTACCAATGTGTGGCAAACAACTCAATTAAAAGTAGTGATCCCTGCTCCATAAAAATTCCTGGTAAGTGCCAAAAAAAAATTAAAAGCAAAAATAAATTTTGGTGCATTATTTAGCATACCAGGAGCAAAGTAGTCAAATTGGACGGCCAGGTAATTACGGCATGTGCATGAGAGAAACTTCTTTCAACTTTACTCCTGGTTTACATCTACTTTACTTGTTGTTTTAAGCATGATGTTGCAAATAAATGCCAAAACAATCAAGAAATTGTTACTTTAATTCAATTTCAGGAAGCAAACTGCCTTGGTATCTCAGCAAAGAAAATCTGATCGTTCTTATAGCATCAATTATAACACTCATCATCTGTTTCATAATCGTCTGCATCGTCATCATCGTTTTGTGCCGGAAGAAGCGTCAAAACACCAAATGTAAGCTTCAATTGTTCGTTTTCCTAATATTCTAATTGTTTGGTTTTTTGCTAACCCCAGGCAATAACCCGCTCGAAATGGAAGAAAGAGAAAAGTGAGTATATAGTTACAATTTGTGCAACCAAAAACACTTGCTTGAAGGGTGGTAGACTCGCTTTAATCACTCACATTGTGCAATAAAAACTGTGATATTTTCATTTTTCTTTGCTTGTGTTCTTATTTTTATTCTTTCTTTTTTCTTCGCAAGTACACACCATCATTTTACGGTTTATTGAAGGTAAGATGCAAAGCTTCCCAAAACTAGTCGCCTTTTACGTTTTTTTCGCTATATTGAGTTGCAGTGGCACCTTCCTATCACAGATTAGTATTGCACATGATTGCAGAGTGGACTCAACCATGAATTGTATCCGTTTTGCATTCAGATAAAAAAAATAGAATTTTTTTTTCATCTCCACCCTGTAGTTCCAAAACTAACCCACTTTCACACTACTCTCTACTTAACATTATTAACAAACTAATAACAATGAAACTTCTCAGGTTTCTGTGCACTCAAAGTCCTGATGTGCTCGGGTTGCCTTTGGTGCCCTGTGGCAGGGTGACTTATTTAGGAAACCAAGGTAGCTTTAGCTGCAATATTGTTTTTATTTGCATGGATATTGTTACACAAGTTCTTTGTTCATATTGGTTTTGGGTGGTGGTAAGGTGCACCGTTTGCATGCGTTTCGTTTTCAACCCCTTCTAGCGCTGAATTTGCATCATTAAGAGCACATAAAAAGGGTAGTTTCTGAAAGAGGCGAGTTCATATTACAACTTGCACATATGGTGAGGGAGACGAACAGTAGGGGAGACGATTACACTTAACGCTTGTTTTTGTTCCGGATGCTCTCGAGGCGCAATATACATGCTGCTAATTTTTTCCCGTTGAATGCACTTGGATGCACCCCTTCGGGAGATTAATTTTGTTACTATTCAAAAAATTCTTCATTTTTTAACTATACTAGCCTATAAAATGTAAGATAGTAGTTTATTCTACAAGCAAAGAATAGTATCTTATAACAGAAGGTAGAGAAGGGACCTTTTATAGCCGAGCTGTTTATTTAAATAAACGCATAAACAATAAGCTGAAATTTAAATAAATTAAATTAAACCGTGTTTTATATAAAAAAAATTCACTACTAGCATATTTATTATATACCCAGAAATACAACAGCGCAAAATATAACCCTACTTAATGGACATGTTGCCTCAGACGTAACATGTCGTAATTCACAACTACTATTTTTGTTAATTCACTATTACCTTCAGGTAATTGATTCCTAACTTGAATTATTAACTTAAGTTGGAAGTATTATTTTATCATAAATGAGGTTATGACCCTTATTCTGTAACTCTGAACGATTTTCGTTGTTAAATAAATCTTCGTATTCTGTAAATAAACTACTTTCGTTGACTGATTTATGAGTTTTTATAAAATATAAGTCATATTTTGAATTATTTTCTCGTCGAATTGCAAAGAAGGTAATTATTATTTTATTATTATCTTATTACTATTGATTTTCTTATTATAAAAATTTAAAACATACCTACTCGTACCTATTTTAGACAATTGTACGTACAAGCAGTTAATAAAAAAAAATAAAAGTTGCTAGCAAACGTTTTAATACGTTTGATGAATTATTTTGAAGAATGTTTAGATTCACAAAAACTTTATCAAGTGATTTTTTTTTCTTAAAATTCAAGTTTTTTGGAAAATGGACAACGTAGCACTAGTACAGCATCACCCACAGTCCAAGTTAAAAAAAATCGGCTTAAGAGTTAGGTAGTTAATGGAGTGGGTGGTTAAAACTCATCTTTTTGTTAATTAAAAATATATGTTTTTCGTAATACATATTTATTTAAAAATAGCTTTAATTTTTTTCCACCCAGCTATGTCTCTTACAGAACCACCACAAGCATTAATTTCATCATTAATTTTTTCCATGCTTTTTTTAGAGCAAGGAGTTTCTCCACTACAATTTTTTTAACTGGGAGTCATTCTCCAACAAATTCAAATGTGGTTTAAATTGTTGAATCGTTGTTTTAGTTTTTTTCTTCTTTTTGTCGATGCAAGCCTTTTTTAAACTTTAATAAAGTTACGTTGTGACATTAATGACGTTTTTGAATAAATACTAGCGAATTCAAAACATTGACTTTTCGTTGAGAAAATGTGAAAGGTCGTTCATTAACGAAATCGTTCATGAACGAAAAATTAGAGAATAAGGGTCGATGTCACTTTTCTACTTCTGCAACTATTAAGGGAATTTTCTAACTTTATAATATGAAATATTTGTTAAATAACAAAGAAACTGCAAAGAAAAGAGGAAAAGAATTAAAATTTGCCTCATTACCGATAGTATTTTAACAAGAAATAAATCAATTTGTTGCTTTGACAGTTTTGAGATAGACAGAAGTATTAGAGTTGGGATTATTCTGGTGTTTTTAATGACAAAATTTAAGTCTTTTTTATTTGATTTTGCATTACTTTCATCTCGAAATACTTTCGTTAGTAGTTGTGATGGTAATAGTTTTCAGTAATAATATTCTAGAAATATTTGTATCAATGTAATACCCTCCAACATCGGCATTTATCTACCTCTAATCCATTGATCTATAATGAAAATGATTATTGACTACTAGGAGAGAAAAACAACTTCACAACCTCTAGACAAACTAAATAATTGTATCTTTTACAGTTAGTAGTGAAAAAAAGTTGTTTATTATTAATCCCAATGTTTTTTTACGAGTATAAAACAACATTTTCTCTTATAGGTACATTTATAGTTCTTTTTAAAATAAAAAATTAGAAATGTTTTAATTTAGTTGCCGATTTCATTTAACATTAATTGTTATGTATGTTTATTATGAAATTTAAAGCAACCAAAACAATAAAAATTTGATAACAAACGGTCGTGAATTATTTAAAAGTAGTAAAGTAAAATTTTTTCAAGTGTGAGCAGTGGCGAGACTCTCTATTGACGCATCGTATCTAAAATGCAGTTTTCTGCACAATCCGACCTGACACAGATAGATGGTGAGTCATAAAGTGTTGTTCAAGACTTAAAAAATCCATATAAAAGAATTTTGAGAAAAAAAATTGTGATATATTAATTTTTTCACCAAAAAAAAATACTAACCAACCATTATTTGATTAAGATAAAAATACCTATAAGAGAAACTATAATCTTGTAACAGACCTATAAGAAAAACTATAACTATAATCTTGTAACAGACTGTAGTACTTTTTCTCTTTTCACTAACTAACCATTATTTGATTAAGATAAAAATACCTATAAGAGAAACTATAATCTTGTAACAGACTGTAGTACATTTTCTCTTTTTCCCTTTTCTGATGACTATCAGGCTATGTATCTTTTTGTGTTTAGATAGATCTTTTTGAAGCACCTCAACACTTTATTTTAAATCCGTCCTTGCTAACGCTTTTTATATTTTGTTTCATATTGTTTTTTCACCACCAATTACTAAATTCTTCCATCTGGCATAAAATGACAGACCCGATGGCCAATCGCCCGACAGTCCCACTCAGTCGAAATGGCCTTTGAGGCCTGGAGTTTTGGTCCATGTAGGTAAAATGCATAATGTAAACATTAGTCAATTAAGTCCCGAGTCGACCCCATTTCGAACAACTTCCGTTTCGAGCACTATTCTTAAGTATAAAATAAACAAGTCGAAAGTTTATGCCAGGTTGGAAAGATTAAAGGATTGGCTTGGATTTGGCGGACGCGAACGCATCCCTAGTGGCATAACCGAGGGAGCTAGTGGAGGTAAAATAACGATTCATCTCAATTTGTGTCGATTGTTGAGTGTTTTGTTGTTGCATGGCATGACAGTCGTTACTTACAAAAAAATCAAACCGACCACACCATCTTCTGACATCAATACCAACTCGAGGAAACGGAAAAAGCCCGGATGTGGTAAGGGTTTTCATCATTTTTAGTGTCTTTTGTTAGTTTTTCAATTCAAGACAAAAAATTTACAAGCGGTAGTTGTAGGGAAATAAATAAATTTTATTGCCGGCAAAGAATCTTAACCTTCTGCCATTTCATAGCTTTATTAGTAATTAGGTTCGAGCTTTTCGAGTCTTAAAGCCAAAGTTTAAAATTGCACTTTTTTATGCTCCAGCACCCAACCCGTCCTCTACAGGAGATAAGACGAGATTAGGGGCTGCTCCACCGGTTGGCGGTTCAGCAGACCCCACAAATGATCACGACAAAGGATTTTACGAAAACCTCCCTTTCCACGGCATGCAAAACCCACCAAATAAAGTGAGTCATTTTACCGCCCAACACTTTTTTGCTTTTTATTTATTGTTTTGCATGTGTTTGCAGCCAATTTCTATCATTGCTCCGTTCACTCAAGAAATGCGTAATTTTACCCCCAAACCCCCACCTTGCCCTAAACTTATCCAACGACATCAGTCCTTTCACGGCTTCCAGACGCAACACTTGACCAACTTTGATTTCAACCGAAGCAACCCTTTCTTGAATAATTGGGGTAACTTTCAAAACTTTGCATACAATCAACAAGTTGAGCAGCCATTCACCTTCCGGAATAATTTTCAGCCGATATTGAATTTTAATCCGTTTTTACTCCCGAATCCTTTCAGTGTACCACCTCGAACGAATCGAGTTGCAGGTCGAAGGGAAACGGATGTGAGACGAACGGCTTCCGGTATCAATTTCGAAGAAAATGAGAATGCTAAAAACAAGGAAAAAATCGCAAAGTCAATACCAAACGATAAGCGTTTCGGTTCCTTAGAACTGAAAAAGCACAAATGTTACTCACCCACGTTTTATTCAATGCGATGTAAGAAACACGCCAAGAAAAGACCAGTAGTTTATGCGTTACCAAAAAAAGTTTTCGGTGAACTTTCACCAAATGAGGAGAAACCCCAATTTCAAAACCTTACAGACAGTATAGAAATTTCTGAACAAAATTCAGAAACTAAAACTTTTCCAATACCAGCTCCCAGGTGTCGAAAACATTTGAAAAAAGATGTAACAACCAACTCCCCAAATCCGGACGTATCCAATAGCTCAAACGAAGGTTCAGAACAACTCGAGAGCGAAATTTCTGTTATAGAAGCCCAAATTCACACAAACGACGTAAAATCAGATACTGAAAGCAAAAATAGTAGCGTAATTAAAGTGGAAGCTATGAAAGCCCTGAAAAATTCTCCTATGCTTAAAGTTAGTCCCAATTTTATCAAACCCAAAACCGAAAGTCCTAAAGGAGCCTTGTCCTTGCAAATCCAAGCCAAAAGAAAAAATTCCACCGACAATTTAACTCAAACAGATGATAGTAGCAAAGAGAATTTACCCTTAATACCACAAATGCCATTACTAAACCCTCAATGTAAGTGGAGTCCCGGCTTTACCCAGGTTTGTTTTTGTTGCTTTTTTTTAATTAATTAGTCTAGTTTAATGGGCTAGGTGCAGTTTCAAAATGAAATTTTGTGACCTGCACCCCCTGTTGTTTTCAAAACTAACATTTCCCAATTTCAGAACGCTTTTTACACACTAACCACCCCGCATTATAAACATAATGTCGGCTTGCCCCCGCAATATTCAGCGACCATCCCTCACCAAAAACACACCAAGCTCATCCCTCGAGCTTTGTTCAATGAGCCCTTACCGAAGAGCAAATCTTTCTCGTCGAAACCCAAACACAAAAAGCACTTTCAAATCCCGCTACAAAAGTGCCACAGTTTTAAGTTTCAAACGGCGGAAAGTTACTTTCAACCGATTCGAAACATCCACGAGGAGGATCTTATGAAGAACGGCTACGTGTCGGATTACCCACGACATCACAAGCGCGAAAAGGCTAAGCAAAAAACTAAGGGGCCTTTGGTGGTAATGAGACCCAGCGAGTATCACGGGGGCATGCAATTCCCCGAAACTGTACAAAGCTCGGTTCAGCTTCAATATCCGCAGCCGGTCTTAGGAAGGAGTGTAAAGAAGCCGAACGGAGTGGTCTACGCAGATCTAGATATGCCTAAGACTAACAAGAAGAGCTCACACGACAACAGCTCTTCGTTACCAAATAAGACACAAAAGTCCAAATCAAAGACTGAATATGCAACGCTTAGTTTTAACGATGTTGGTCAAGAAATTGACGTTTAACATTCAATTAGGATGCTACCTTTACTAATTTGCTTAAGGTTAGTGTTGCCGCCTTAATGCTTTCCAGTGAAGAGGTGTAGTATTTTCAAAATTTTTTGCTACATTAAACCGGATCACTGGAGTTATCGCTGCTGCTGTTCTGTATCTGCACTAATAATAATGCAAACTTTATTTTGAAAAAATGCATTTTAAGCCATCAATTGTCACTTGAAAAAATTCTTCTTCAGTAGAGAATTGTGGCTCAAATTTACAATTATTAAATTACTTATTTGTTTCTAAATTTTGTTTTAGACTAATGGGACAACCAATACTGGTAGTGATACTTATATTTTCTAAGGTAATGTCTTTTGCGAATTTAGCAGTAGAATTTATATTTCTATTATTAATTGTACATTTAGAGCACAATCGTCTTTTGCCAAAAGCAGGTACTATATGACGATTATTTTATTTTACTCCCTAAGTGGCTTTTGCTTATTTACTCGTCTTTGTACGTATTTATTTAAAAAACTAAACATTTTTATTTAACTTAAAAGTATTACAATTATCAAAAAATAAATTTTGTAGAAGAACTAAAATATTTCAAATAATTTTGCGGTATTTTTCCTTGTTAAATTAAATAAATAATTTTAATTCATTTTTAATGACAATTACAAAACTAATAGAAAACTTAGGGCCGGTTTACAAAACGTGTTAATCGCAATTAAATTTTAATTCGGAATTAACTTGGCATTTGTCAATGCAAAATAAATGGCAACTTAATTCGAATTAGTTTAATTCCCAAGTAAATTTTAATTTCGCTTTCTGCTCAAAGAATTAAACCACTCGCGGTAAACGCGCACGTGGAATTAAACCTTCTTTTCGTAAATAAACAATTCATTTATTGTTTTACATAAAATCAGGTATAAAATAGAGAAAGCCTATTTCGTACAAAAATTATGTTAATTAATTTTATTTTAAATAATATAGTTAAAAAAATTATTAAGTTAATAATGATTTGTTTTTTCGTCAATGTCATTATTAATGCATATTTTTCTTTAAGAA